TCTCTCTCTCTCTCTCTCTCTCTCTCTCTCTCTCTCTCTCTCTCTCTCTCTCTCTCTCTCTCTCTCTCTCTCTCTCTCTCTCTCTCTCTCTCTCTCTCTCTCTCTCTCTCTCTCTCTCTCTCCTCCTCTCTCTCTCTCTTTCTTGCTTTCTCTGTCTTGCTCTCTATGAAGTTAGGGGAGTTAGGGCAGCGCGGAAAATCAATAATTACGAAGCGAGGGGTGATGACTCAAATGCTGAAATCAAGGTCTCTTCGAGCAAAATTATTCTCTGTGTCCTATGATACAATCATCCCATATTTGTCCCCGTTACTCTTCTACCAATTTCTTTATTATATTCTTGTTGTGCGTCCCCTGAATTACGTAAAACATTCTACATTTGAAGAACTACATTACATACAAATTAGCAGGAATAGAGAATATTTTTTTGTAAAGTGCTTAGAAAATCTTTAATTGTCGCGATAAATAAACGATGAAATTAATTTGATCCGGTGGTTGGACGCGACAAGTGTAATACATAAGGGGACGATGAACTGCGATCTTTCTTCCGAAAAGAATCAAAGAGTCAAACCTCGCGCGTCACACTGTATAGATATGCCATGGTGTGACAGGTGGAGGCTCGAGTGCATTCCAGGGTCTTAGGGCAGCGAAGAGACGACGTGTCTAGTCGGGGAAATTTGGGGTTGATACCACGTCATACGTATAAGCCGCAGCTGTCAGCGGCTGGAAACGTGACTAGCATCCCAGCCGCTCCAAGCCACCTTATTACCACCCTGCGCCTGGCTGCCTGTCCTCATTATCCCCTTAACGTTTTCTCCGGCCGGTGGTTGCAAAGATGATCGCTTTCAAGAATTCAATCTCTCGCGTTTAATTTCATTCGTCTGTCGCACGATGGATACACGAAGAATTAATCGGATAAAATCAATAAATAATATTAATAATTTAAAAAAAAAAGAAAAAAGAAATGCGAGCAATTTTTAAAGACTCAACTGCTTATGTAGAAACATTGTAACTAAAATAGTTTGTTCGTTATAAAAGTTCAGATAAAACTACACGGTATGATAAATTGGCTCGATTAAGCGCGCACTTATCAGCGTGACGGTGATACAGCCATATCAGAGTCGGTCAAGCTGGAGTTTTAATCGAAAATCTATTCCCCTCTCTTTTTTCTCTCTCTCTTTTTCACTCTGCATTTTCCCTCTTTCTTTTTCGCTGCCGAGAGTTGCTCTTGATCTCTTCGATTTAGCGTGACAATCGCGTGTGCTGTTTTTTTTTATTCGCCGCACGTTCACATATAGGCGCGTATAAGGGCGTGTTGACACGCCATAAAACCGCTATCGGGAAATCCGTCGGCCGCAAAAACCACCCTTTCCGCGTCGAGAAAGACCGGTCGCGCGCGCG